AGAGCAATAGCAATAGTTAGACTTATATACCGCTTCATAGGGCTTTCAGCCCTCTCTAAGCAGTTTACAGACCCAACAATCTGGCTCCTCATTTTACCCACCTCGGAAGGATGGAAGGCTGAGTCAACCCTGAGCCGGTGAGATTTGAACAGCCGAACTGCTGAACTGCAGTCAGCTGAAGTAGCCTGCAGTGCTGCATTTAACCACTGCGCCACCTCACCACCAGTTGAGGTTTGATGTTAATGCCTTACTCTACTGCACCAAAGGGAGTCAGAAGTCAATGCCTTTTCTTTCTTCCCCCTTTCTTTTCCCTTCCTTTTCCCCCTTCCTATTTTTCTTACTATTCGCTTTTGTAATTTTTGCATGTTTTAACATAAACTAATAAAAATGGTTAAATTAAGCAAATCCACTTTTACTCCCTAACATTGCTTGACAGCAGCCAGTTGCAAAGGGCACATATGGCAATCACTGGACTCCAGGGTACTGCAACTATTGTAAATACACACCAGTTGCCAAGCACCCATCTTGCAATCATATGATCTTGAGGATGCTGCAGTGGTCATAAGTGTGAGGACTGGTCATGCAATCACTTTTTTAGTGCCATTGTAACTTCAAACAGTCACTAATATTGTAAGATTGTAAGGATTCCTTGTATTCCTACACTTTTCTTTATTTTAATCATACCTAGTGCTAACTCATAAAGCATGATTTATAAGCCACAATGGCTGGGTAGATATCCCATATTAAATCCAAACCAAAAAATAAACAAACCCCATGCTTTGGTTTAATATATTTGAGCCTAGCCATTAAGGATGTAAACGTGAGCTATCACTTAACAAATCATGTCAATCCAGCCAAGTTTAGCTTATTCGTATCATGGTTTGTGAACCATGTGAATCCTGCATGTGAATCCAGTCCACGGTAACCGAATCTTGTGATCTTGTTCTTCAGATGTTTGTGTCAAATTTCTAGCAAGCTTGACAAGAGGTTTGTCAAGAAAGAAGTACCAGTAGGTGCGGAAAGACCGAATGAATTTCTCTTTCTGCTCCCACTTTGGTTACACTTTGTGTGATCAAGCTAGGAGAGCATAGTTGAGGATTTTCCTGAAAGAATTTACTGTGCAGTAATGATGTCATAGAAGTGTGTTCTGAAATATTGTCCCTTAGGTTGGATGTGGTTTCTCAGCAAGGGTCAATCTGTTCAGAGCTGAGATGGCCAACTTTGTAGGCGTATTTCCTACCTGTTCTGACCTAGGCTTCCCAAAAGCATGAAGCCGACTCCTCTTCCCTATAAAACCCCTTTTATTTAGTTTAAAATGAATTCCTCTCCAGCAAAGTCCCGGCTAACAGTCTTTCGAGAGATTTCACAACTACAGACCTTTATCAGGCTTGGAGAGCTGCCAGGCCCATATCAGATAACACAGATCTTAACTCTAATGGAGTGAACTAATTGTTTCCTGCAAACTCCCCTTTCCTTTTGTTCCTCTTTTATTCCCTATGGGAGCGGCCATTCACGGTCCACCTGTGGCTTTACTCCCAAGTCAACCCTAGTTCCTTAGCTCTGTTCCCTTCTCCTGGCAGTTCTGCACATGTGCACACAGGCTCCAGCTGTTGTTCTGCTTATTTATTTCCAACTGCCCACTTATTTCCAACTCCAAAGGCAACCGATAATTGTCAGACGGCCTTGGTCCCATCTCTTCCTGTGACGCAGAGCCCTCGTGAGAGCCTTCCCCAGACTCCAGGACTGGCCCATGATACTCCCCAACCTCCTCACAATCCGAATCTGCTGACCAATCCACTGGCGGGCCACAATGCTACCTTGCTTGTATTTATTTCAACACTGCTTGTTCCCACTAGACTTGGGTGACTCGTAAATTTTAATTAATAATCATGATAATAATGAAGGAGTTATATAAAAGGCACTAGTGTATATCATAGAAGATTGTTAACATTTGTCTGACTTGTTGAGAATTTTTGTTACTCTTGTGTAATTTTCCTTAAAACTTCAGAATTTGTAGTCATAACTGTAGTCATAACTAATAATTGCAGGATACCATACAAGAGTTGGATTGTTCTAGCTTTCAAATTGAGATAGTAATATCCACAAATGGAAATGACAATTTAGGCATCTATTTTGAAAACTGGAGATAGTAAGTTTATTATATTATAGAAGATGGTAAGCAAACATGAAGAATAAAACACATTGACAATACAAAGTACAAATGCCATGCTTTTTAAAAATCTGGTGGTACTTACCAGAAAGCATTCAGTAAAGTCAGTAAGAGTCAACAGTACAGAAATATGGCTATGCTAATTGAACCCCTGCATTCTGTTTGACCTTGACTTACTATGGAACTGGCTTTTAAAAATAAAAAAGTGACAACCAGGGGTGTCAAACACAAGGCCTGCGGGCCGGATGTGGCATGCGGTGTGGTCGGATCTGGCCCACGGGGCCGTCCTGGAAAATGTAAGAGGCCGGCCCGTATCACTTTGGCCTATTCTACATAATGCGAAGAAGAAAATTCAGGCCAGTGTGGCTTCAGCCCAGTTTACCCAGTGCGAAGAGGAAACATGCCAGCAGTTTGGGGAGTGGAGTCAAGCTGGCCATGCTCCCCCCAGTTGCCCCCCGAACCTTCCCCAAGGTCAATCACAGCCTTGATGCGCCCCCCCCCCATGAAATTGAGTTTGACACCCCTGTTTTAAACTCAGGATGGAAGCCAAAATCTTGGAGATTTGCTTCAATCAGAAATCAGCTTCCATTTTGGGATCCTGACTAAAGTGCTTTTGAGATGTAAACTGAGGAAAGAGAGATCAGGCTATTTCACAATGGCTTTTGGGATCAAAAGAATCTCCTGTCTCTCTCAAGCATCTCAACAATTTTGAGTGTTCATTGTGTATCTATAGAGAGAGAGAAAGAGAGAGAGAGAGCATGAGACAAAGATGAAAATTTTATCTCCACCTTCCCGAAGTAAAAATGAAGTTGATGACTCAACAAGAGGTTAAACATTACAAAATAGTAAACATAGCAAACCTGTACAGTCAAAGAGGAAATGGATCTCATTGGGCTTATCAAATGTGTGCTCAAATGCCTTATTAAAATAAAATAAAGCGGAAGAAAGAGCTCTCTAAAGCAAATCTCTGTAGGTGAAAAGTTCTGTAATCACCATTAGATGGGAAGTCAAATTTACACTAGTTATGGTTAACTTACCCATCATGTGTTCAACTCAGATTTCTCGATTTGCACCACCCAGGAAGTCCTCTACTTACAACCTCGACTGAGCCCAAAGTTTCTGTTGCTAAACGAGACCTTGGTTAAGTGAATTTTGCCCCACTGTATTGCCTCTCTTGCCACCGTTGTTAAGTGAATCTGGCTTCCCCCTTGACTTTGCTTGTCAGAAAGTTGCACAAGGTGATCACAGCACCTGGGACACTGCGATTGTCATAAATAGGAGTCAGATGCCTGAATTTGGATCAGGTGACCCTGGGGATGCTGCAATGGTCATAAAAAATGGCCACAAGTCGCTTTTTTCAGTGCCATTGTAATTTTGAACGGTCACTAAACAAATCGTTATAAGTCAAGGATTCCGTGTATACTGAAGCCTAAACTAACCATTCAATTTTTATAAAACCATGCTAGATGAAAATGTGCCTTTCTGGTTTGTGGTCCATCATTTTTTGTGTGTGTGATTAAGGATAGATCGATCTACAGCAGGGGTGTCAAACTCAAGGCTCCGGGGTCCGGATCCAGCCCGTGGGGTGCTATCTGGCCCATGGGGACACGCTGGAAACAGCAAAGGACCAGGCTGTGGTGCCTCTGCCAGCGAAAACTGAACTCTGGAGGACTGCATGCACTCCTCCCAAGCCCCATTTTCTCTGGCAGAAGGTTACAGGAGGCCTTTGCAGCCGAAAATGGAGCTCATGAGGGCCACCCGCAATTTCTCCTTAATTTTAAGTTGCTTCTCTCCTTGATTAGTTTCCACCCGTTGCTTCTTGTTCTGCCCTCAGGTGCTTTGGAGAATAGTTTGACTCCCTCTTCTTTGTGGCAACCCCTGAGATATTGGAAGACTGCTATCATGTCCCCCCTAGTCCTTCTTTCTATTAAACTAGACATATCCAGTTCCTGCAACCGTTCTTCGTATCTTTTAGCCTCCAGTCCCCTAATCCTCTTTCTTGCTCT